TACGTCATACCAATCACATTTCACTGGCCAGAGCAATTCATATGGCCAAGTCTGATATCAACATGCAAGAGATGTAGGAGCTTCCCATGAGTTGGGGGGACAGCAAATACTTGGACAATGATGCAGTCCACCACCATGCAGAGCAGCTGACCAGTGGCTTGGGCTTTCTGTCCCGGCCAGGTCAAACCGGAGACGTACTGACAGAGAGCCACAGTCATCATCAGGGTGCTTTTTTTTTTTTTGGCCAGGCTTCATGGCTTGTGGGATCATAGTTCTCCAATTAGGGATCAACCCCAGGCCCCAGCAGTGAAAGCGCCAAGCCCTAACCACGGGACTGTCAGGGGATTCCCTAGCGTTGATTTTTAATTATGCTTGGTCTTTGTGTCTAAATTGTAATTAGGTTTCTTTTCATTTGTTTATTTGTTTGAGTCCACCAACTGGTGGTCAGTGTGGCCCATCAGGGAGAAAATTCTGAAAAGCAGTGTCTGGACGGGGGCTCCGGCTCACTGTTGGGCGGGAACTCTCAGTCACTGCAGAAAGGAGAGCTGCTTCGTCAGTATCTCACAAAACTCAGTGTTCTCTTATCGTATGGCCCAGCCACTGTGCTCCATGGTACTTCCTCCAAGGAGGTGAGATCTTAGGTCCACACAAGACATGTGTACAGCTTGATACATAATTGCCCAAATCTGGAAGAAACCAAGATGCCCTTCCGTAGGCACAGGGTCCATCCAGACAACTGAGTGTTTTTCAGAAATTTTAAAAACTGAGTTATCAAGCTCATCTGGAGGAGACTTGAAAATCCAAGTGAAAGAGAAGCCAATGAGAAAAGGCTACACACTGGATGAATACAAGTCCATGACCTTCTGGAAAAGGCAAAACTATGGAGACAATTAAAGATAAGTGGTTCCCAGAGGCTGGGAAGGAGGACGGACAGGCAGAGCTCAGAGGGCCTCTGGGGCAGTGAATACACCCTCTTGTTGTTTAGTCACTAAGTCGTGTCTGACTCTCTGCAACCCCATGGACGGCAGCACGCCAGGCTTCCCTGTCCTTCACCATCTCCCAGGGCTTGCTCAAACACACGTCCATTGAGTCGGTGATGCCATCCAACCACCTCGTCCTCTGTCGTCCCCTTCTCCTCCCACCTTCAACCGTTCCCAGCATCAGGGTCTTTTCCAATGAGTCAGTTCTTCACATCAGGTGGCCAAAGTATTGGAGCTTCAGCTTCAGCATCAGTCCTTCCAATGAATATTCAGGGTTGATTTCCTTTAGGTTGACTGGTACATCTGTCTAAACCCACAATATCCAACACTGAGTGAACTCATATAAAACATAGATTCTAATTAATATTTTAATAACGTTAAATATTTGAATAAGGAGTCGTGTGACTCTTTGTGACCCTATGGACTGTAGCCCACCAGGCTCCTCTGTCCATGGGATTCTCCAGGCAAGAATATTGGAGTGGGTTGCCATTTCCTCCTCCAGGGGGTCTTCCCCACCCAGGGATTGAACCTGGGTCTCCTGCATTGCAGGCAGACTCTTGACCAACTGAGCCCCCAGAGAAGACCATTGAATAATGTAAAACTTAAAAATAAATGCTCTTGAGACAGCATCAGGGAAGGCAGCTAGTGCCATGGAGCCAGCAGCGTGGGCTGCACCCTGACTGGCATTTTACCAGTAAGTGACCTTGGGCCAGTGGCCTTGCCATCCTCACCTGTAACGTGGAAAGCTAAGGCCTCACTGACAGGACTTTTGAGAGAACTAAATGTGTCGTGGCGACTACAGGGCCTGGCTGAGAGTGGAAATCAGGGCAGCCTGGACAACAACTTGTGTCCAAAAACAGGGGGACTCTGCCTTTCTCTGGAAAGGGTTCCTGGGCTCTGAGCATGGCCCACATTCACGTGTACGCGGCACCAGGGCCCTCACAGGCCTCCCCCTGCCTGCCTTCCGGTCCCCCTCCTCCCAGTCCCAGCCCAGGCCACCAGCAAATCCCAACCTGGAACCACTGCCTGGGTCGCCAGAGGGGCCCCTAAGTGGCCACTGCTTCACTCCCATCCCAGCAGCCTTAGGATGCTTTTTGAAATTGCCTCAGCTTCTGTCCCCTCTGAATCAGCCCCCCATGCCCCCACCCCCACCCCCACCCCCACCAAGGGCTCGCTACTGACTAGAGGAAGCTCAGACCCAGCTCATCAGACCCAGGAGGGCCCAGGAGACCAGGGGAGTCCAGGGAGTGAGGAGGCCTGGGAGGCATACCCTAAAAGAAACGATTACACTTATTCAATTAAGCATTATTCATGCTTAAACTGTGTGCCCCCCCAACATGCACCAAGAAGGCCAGGCCAGCGCCAGGGAAGACCTCCCCACTCTCCTTGGGGCCCCCTTGGCTCCACTCTCCTGCTTCACCAGGACCCTCCAGCTCCAATGCGCTCACCTTGTCTCCCTCTCAGCCTTGGTCCTCCGTCCACACACAGGCCCCGTCCCGCCTGGCACATGGGTGCCAGCCCATGCCCGAACACCCAGCTAAAGTGCCTTGCCCACCATTGCCCAGGGCAATCCCTCCTCAGCTTCTGCCCCTTCATCCTCCCTTCCTCGGTTTATGGTTAAAGGCCCTATATTCTGTTTTCCCAGCCTGGTCCATAATAAGCTGCCTGGTCACACATATGACTCAAAATGCAGGGCTTTTTCCCCTATGGGGGGGGCAGCCTCTGGGTCTCTGCTGCAAGCCCCTTCCCTTAGGGTAGGAGCTAGGCCCCATCTCTACATGGCCTTGGCGCTGCTTTTGAGAAAGCCACCCTCGGTGACACCAGGAATCCAGGTGGCAGGGGGCTGCATCCGCAGGTCCCAGGCGGGGGGCCAGGGCTGTGCGAGGCAGACAGGGGCCAGGATGCCTGGGCAGCACTGAGTGTGGGGGTGGGGAGGTGCCCACCCCGGCCAGACTCTGTCCTCAGTCACGAGTGTCATTCAGGCAGGGTGTTGCTGCCCTCGATGTCTCCCACCACCCTCACCCGCTCAGCAGGACTTCGCTGGCTTCTGGTCACACAGTGTGGTGGGGGGCAGGCCTCGGGCAGACCCCCACGCTGGAGGATAGGCGTGGGGGCTGAAGTCACAGCAGGTCTCATTGTATTCCAGTTGTGCTGAAGGCATCAGGGGCCCCACTCTCGTGTCCCCGGGGTGGGGGGGGGCGGCGTTGAGTGGTGGAAGGTGGGGGGCTTTTCTCAGCCCCAGTTGGGCCTGGGGACCCTTCTCCATCATCCTCCTCCCCACCCTTTCAGGCAGCTGGGGGAGGGTAAGTGAACCTCCAGGACTGAGGCTTCAGCCAAGCCTTTGACCCTGACCCGTGGGGTACATCAGTGTCGCAAACAGCGCAAAACAGTTAACTTAGAAACATACACCACCACTTCTCCGCTTCCTCTGGTCCGAGGCACCAGCAAAAATACCGCTAGCCTTTGGATTTTGCTCTTTTCCGTCACCCTTTCCGTTGTAAGCCATAATTTTCAGAGGTTTATAGGTCAGCTACTAAGAAATATACATAATAAACCTCTCCCTTTGACTAAAAGGGAGCAGTTGGAGACGAGAAGGCTGATGGGTGCGCGTGGACCGAGCCTTGAATTCTTCCACCGAAGCCGCGGGCGCATCGCATCCCTCCCCACCCCCACCTGCCGCTGGGTGCCTCCCCTTGTCTCCCCCTCCCCCTTCTTCCCCCGCAGCCCGCCCCTCACCCACTGTGGGCCCAACAGGCCGGGAACACATCTGGGTCCTGAGGACCCACCCTGGGGGACACCAGGACCCACGAAGCTGGGGGCTTCGGAGCAGCTTGAGGCTCCACCTTGTACGGGGTTTCGAGAACTTTAAAAGCTCAGGTCCCGCTCACTGGGCCCGCGACCAGCCCGGCCCCCGCCGGTGCCCACCTGAGTCCCACTGGGCAGCCGGGGTATGGGGGGCTTCCCCGGAGCCAGGGAAATTGAGTTTTGGTCTCTGCTCCGAGCCCTGCACGGGGTGTGTGTGTGTATTCGTGTGTGTGATAAACCGACAGCGAGGGCGGGGCCGCTCATCCCTAAATTAGCGCCGTGGTGCACGTGGGCGCGCCAGCGCTGCCAGGAGCAAGTCCCCGTCCCCAGCCCTCTTAGGCTGCCCCCCCAGCTCTAACTCCCTAACTTTTGGGGGGTGCCAGGGGCGAAAGCTGGAGGCAGTACAAGCACACGGGAGCTGAGTTGCAGCATTTTTCGGCCTCTTTATTTAGAACCCGGCGGACGAGGAGCCGGGGCAGTGGTGCAGACGGCTCAGGAACCATTTCAAAAAAAAACAGATTTGTCTTCAAGTTTAAAATAATCATAATAGTAAAAAGAGCGAAAGCGCGAAGAGACTGCAAGCTAGATGGGCTTGTACGGCAGCTACAGCTTGTGAGTGACCCCCTCCCCCCAGAATAGGCTACAAAAAATAAATTTACATTTGTTGATAACCAGATGCAAGTGAGGTGCCTTTGGCATAACCAATAACCGAGCTGCGGCGTGGCAGAGCGGCCCACGCCTCGACATAAATAGAAAATATAAGTTAGTATAACTTTAAAAATTTTTGTACAAATATACAGGTTTTTTTTCTTTTTTCCTTTTTTTTTGTCTTTTTTCATTTTTTTGCACTGAGTTTCAGCAGAGATTAAACATTTTATATAAATGACTCTTAAAGCTTTACACCTTGGGACCAGTGTACTCCTTGGGCAGAATACATTTAGATATAAAAGACGTTATTAATACATTGCACAGTTGTCAAACTTTAAACACGAAACCGAACGCTTCGCGGCAGCTGCCGCTGGTTGCTGCTACATGGACGGTCCCAGCCGAGGCCCAGCGCTCCTCTCCTGTCCGCTGCCCGACGGGCTCCGTCAGGGCTCTTTGGGCACGAGGCTACGGGAGAGAGGCGCGGTGAACGAGGGGAGACAGAAGAGCCGCGAGGACCGCGCGGGACGCCCCCCCCCTCCCCCCCGCCGCGGCCGCCGCCCTCACCTCTCATCGCAGCCGCTTGCGCGGGGTTTGCTCAGCCGAGCCGACGGCTGGAGCGGCGCCAGGCGCGGCGCATCCCGCGGGAACCTCGTTCGACGCCTTGGCTTCGGGCGCGGGTCTCTTGCGCTTGGCGAAGAAGTCTGCGGGCGACAGCGCGGGTAGCCGGTCAGGACGGGGCGGGCCGCGGGGAGCCTAAGAGGGGGCCGGGGCGTAGAGGGGGGCGCGCGGGCGGTTGCCGGGCCGGGGTGGGGGCGCCGTCCCCGCCCGCGCCGAGGTCCGCGGCGGGTCAGCTTTGTTTACGTCGCCGCGCAATGTGCTGTGTAAGCATTTCCCCTTGTCCCGCGGCCAAGCCCCCCGGGGCTACCGCCGCGCTTAACCCCCTCCGCGCCGCGATTGCGGCGCCGGGCCGCGCCCGAGGAGGGGCTTCGGTGGCCTCGGCGTGGATCGTGCTCAGAGGGGAACAGGGCGCGCCCTCCCAACCCTCCCGTGCGAACCTCTCGAGAGCACGACCACAGGGTGGGGACGGGGTGTGGGCGCAGCTTCGCCCTGCGCGCTGCGGGCCCTTTAACGCCACGGAGGAGGCGGGGACCCAGGGAGGCCCCCGAGGGCCGGGGAACCCGGCTGGCCGGACAAAGCAGGGCCGAGCCGGGCCGGGGCGGGGCCGCGCGGGGCTCACCGGAGATGAGAGGCCCGGACAGCTTCTTGATCGCGGCGCCTCCGGCGGCGGCAGTGGTGGCAACAGCGGCGGCGCTGGCGGCGGTATTGGTGGCAGCGGCAGCAGTGCCCGGCGCGGGGCGCCCCGAAATCCCTGAGTGCGGCGGCTCAGCCTGGGGCTCCTGGTTGCGCGGCGGCGGCACCGCCTCCGCCTCGGCGCCCTCCTGAGGCACCGGGGCCGCGGCCTGGGCAGGCGCTACGGCCGGGCCGCTGGACGGCGACGCCGGCGCCTCCGCGAGGCCGTCGAGGGACTCATCGGCCGGCGGCCCGGGAGGCGGGCTATTGACCGCGCCGCCGTCCAGGCGGGGACGAGGCGCCAGGAGCAGGCGACAGCGCCCCACCTGCACCGTCTCGCGGTAGAAGGCGGGCACGGACTCGCTATCCACCTCGGTCCACTGCAGGCGCCCGGGGCCCGGCAGTGGCATGTCCAGCTGGAAGTTGTAGTCCCAGCGACGCTGGTCCTCGGCGTTCAGCTCGGCCAGGCGCATCTGCAGCTCGCGGCCCAGCTCCTCGTGGTCCACCGGCCCGAAGAGGCTGCGGCAGGCGCTGGTGCGCGCAATCATGGGAAAGGTGCGGCGGGAGACCAGGCGCTCCATTGCCAATGCGCTGCGGAGACACACGTCGGACGTGTCGGGGGCTGCGCGGGACGGGCGGCAGGAGAGGAGAGGAAAAGGAGGAGGGAGGAGGAGGAGAGGGAAGGAGGGCGGGGGCCGCGTGCAAATGAGACCCCGCGCAGCCGGAGTCTGCATTTGCACAGGGACGCGGCGGGAGTGTGGCGCGGCGGCTACCTGGCTGTCGGGCTGCTGACTGCTCCTGAGGCTCGCTCGCGGTGTCGTCCGACTGGCGGCCGCGCCCCCTCTGTGCCTGTCCTCGCTCGTTCGGCTGGCTCTGGCCTGGCTGGCACCCACCGAGCGCAGAGCACTTGGCCTGTGGAACGCCCAGTCCTCGCGCGCCCCTTTATACGCGAGGGTCCCACCCCCCCCCTCGCGCGGGCCCTGCTCTTATTAGCATAATGTAGTATTTTCAGTTTCAACAACACCGCGGCGATTGGCCGGAGCCGCGCTTCCCCCGCCCCTCCGGCGCCCCGCCCCCGCCAGCCACCCATTGGCCCTGCGCACACACCCACCCGAGGGCGGGGCGGGGCGCGAGGGCCGATTGGCAGGGCGCGGGGCGCGCGCGGCGGCGGGGGCGGGGGCGGGGCGCGGGGCGGGGCCGGAGTTAAAGGGCGCTGCGGGCGGTAACGTGACACCGCGGCGCCCCGCCCCCTCGCCCCATCCCCCCCCCGCTCCCACCCCCCGCTCCCGCCCCCCGCCGGCTCCTTTGTCTGCAAGGCGGGGGCTGCTCGGCGATGGTGGCGAGGGCCCCCCGACACCCCAGCCCGCGCGCCCTCCCGGGCTCGGCGGGCGACGACCCCCCGGCAGGACCGGCGTTCAGCCTGGCCCAACTGGCCTCCCGGGGGTCGTCCAGCCCGGCCGCCTGCACTCGGCCTTCGGCCTCCGGTGCCAGTTGACGGTCCTTTAAGACGCCGCGGACAGCTCGTCCCTGGCTGGAGCTAGAGGGGGTCTTCGGCTGCCCCCGCGCGGCCTGCCGCGCCCGAGGCTTGTGTCCCTGCCGGGGTTCCGCGCACCTGGAGCCCTAACACCTGCTAGACCGAAGGCCTTCGAGCTAAGAGAAAGAGGGTTTGGGGGACCAGGGGGAGGAAAGCTCTGCTCCACTTTTCTCCCAGGGCAAAGTGGCAGACACCTTGAGGGCCAGCTGTAATCGTCTGGGGCCAGGGTCTGAAGACACTAGTCCTGAGCTGTGCCCATCACATTACTAACTGGGTGCTCAGCCGCATACGGCTTGGCCAGGCGGGGTTCCGGACTGCCCAGGCTGGCTGGTTAGAGGCTGTAGTGCTCGGTATTGGACAGGGCAGTGGAGGCTTCTCCACTGCGGAGCCCAGGGGCCCAGTGAAGGAGGTTAGAGGAGGCTGGCCCAACCCCACCTGTCTGCCTCCCCTGCAGGGTCCCGTGGGTTCCAGGACACTCAGGGAATGGGGCTCCGGGACGACACTGCAGATGTCCTGGAGGCAGCTCAGGGGAGGAAAGGTTTGAAAGGAGGGGCATCCACCCAGCTGAGGGACAGGGCAGGTCACCACCCTTGGCTCTGGAGAGCAGGACCAAAGCTGATGCTTTGCGTCAATTTCTTTATTCTTTTTTGTACACTGGAGTCCAGATTTCCCACAGCAAGTACAGATGTGACAAGTTTTTACCTTCCGGGAAAATAAAAACAAGATGACAAAGGCTGCCCTGGTCCTGTGGATCCCTTGGGCGGGGCTCGTGTGTCCCAGCTTGGGCCTCGCCACGGCTGCGCCAGCCTCCCCAAAGGCCGTATGCACAGTCCACAGCGGGCAGTGAACACACAACATGGAACCGCGTGCCCCCCGCCCCGAGGATTTCCCACCGGGTCAGCATGCCCCAGCTCCAGCCATCCAGGAAGGCAGGCCAGGGAAGGGCCAACCCCCAACCCAGGCTTTGTCTCCAGGCTGTCTCCTTTCCGACAAGAGAGAAGCCGCCGCCCTCCCAGCCCCGCTCTGGACCCCCGGGGACTGCCTCATGGTGTGAGCACCTGTCCGCCCAGGGCCCCACAGGGCAGGAGACCTAGCACGCTCCTCGTAGATTACCGGGAGCCGGCAGTAAACCAGGCCTCCACGCGACCCGCCCTCTGCATGCACCGTCCAGGGAACGGCGTAGGAGGGCTGCCCCAGCCCCTCCGGGGCACACAGGACACCTCCATGGGCGCCAGCTGAGTCCAGCTGGTGGGCCCCAGGGCCTCCACAGTGACAAGCCCAGCAGCCTGTGACTCAGAGCCTGGTCTCCACGGACAGGGGTGGGTGTGGCACCTCTCCAGGTCAGTGCCGCAGCCGTGGAGCCTCGGGCAGCCGAGCCCTGGGCAGGATGGTTTCCGTGGCCCCCTGACTGAGCCCCACCTGTCCTACGGGTCAGGGAACAGAGAGCCTGGGTGAGCCGCCCGGGCCGCAAGGCAGGGTTTAGACCCGCCCCACCGCCTGTCTTCTGACTTCCTACTTAATACTTCTCCAGGGCCTGCGGGGACACCTCCTCTCTGGGCCGCCTTGTTAGTTCAGGGAGGTGACTTTGTGAGTCTGGGACCCCAAATTTGATCCAGGGTGGTACCCTCTGGCCTACTGAACCTGCTGGTCCCAGGAGTGGGCTAGGTCCCTCCCTGAGCCTGAGATGGGGGGAAGGAGCTGAGTTCTGCCCTGAGAAGAGGCCCACAGCCTCTGAGAGCGAGCATCTATCTAGGCACAACATCCAGGCTCTACTTTTGTAATTAAAAATGTAGCAGAAGGAAAAAAGCAAGCGAAAAGGAACAAGGTTTGTGCAGACATCAGAACCAGGAGGGGTGTGGCTACTCTCGCCCCCAAATCCTGCAAGAGGGGAGGGGAGCAGAGCCTATTTGCAGCCGGGGTGGGGGGGGCGGGGGGGCAGGCCTAAGCACCAGGCCCCCTGCTGCATCCCGCATCGCTGTAGCTCGCCCCTCGGCCAACCGAGGAGGGCACAGGAGAAGACATGAGCTCACCAGACCTCTGCCTTCTCTAAGCACACTGAACCACGCGGTTCTCCCCCAGCCCTTAGCGGCCTGGGGGGCTACAGAACGTGGGCAGGGGCCGCTTCCCCACCAGGCCCACAGGGCAATCCTCCTCCTCCCCGCCTCCCCGCTGCAGGGGGCAGGAGCCCCGAAAGCCCACCCAGAGTGGGACACCACAGCCCCAGCAGCGCCCTCTGCACACCCACCTGACCATCTTGGGAGTGCGAAATGAACTTTTATAGCATCTTCAGCCACTGTAAAAATGAGGGGTGTCTGTGACAGACACTGGTTCCCCCGACCCGCATAGATGGCCCGGGTATACCCGGGTATACCCGGGTATGCCCGGTGGGCACTTTCTAGACGAGGAGTGAAGGTTGGGGAAGATGCAAGGGCCTGCTCCAGCTTACAGTGGTCAAGGCCCTGGTGGGGTTTAGTCCTCACAAAGCCCCGCAGGCAGTCATGGGGACTGTGGGCTGTTTACAGCTGTGGAGGCTGAGTCTGGGAGAGGGAGCCTTTCCGGACTTAAGTGGGAGCCAGGTCCCTGGTGTCCGGAAAACACCATCCGCAGCCGCGTGCTGCCCCCTGCTGGCCGAGTCCCCCATCAGCCGCCTCTCTAGCTGCCCCAAAGCCCCCTTCTCCTGGGGGCCCGCAGGGCCAGTGTGTGTTGGGGGCTCACCCCCCACAGTTCTCCTGGGGGCCCGCAGGGCCAGTGTGTGTTGGGGGCTCACCCCCCACAGTTCTCCTGGGGGCCCACAGGGCCAGTGTGTGTTGGGGGTTCACCCCCCCCACAGTTCTCCTGGGCCTGTCTGTGCCTGTGCCTTCCCAGCAGCTCCCCAACTGCTATCCAGACTGGAGCCCCATCTGAGAAGTCTGGAGGGACACGGCGAACCCTGACCACACCAGGGACCTCCAGCCTGCCGTGCACCCTGGCTGGGCACTTGCCTCATAACCCTTTCCAGAACCTGCAGAGGGAGGTGTTTTATTGCCCATTTTCCAAGAGAGGAGCCCATGGCTCAGACGGGTTAAGCACACTGCCTGTGGTCATCCAGCGCTCAAGGGCAGCTGGTTCATGCCCCTGGCCCAGCCCCCTGGACTCCTATGAGGGTCTGGTAGGCAGGAAAGCAGGAGAGGAAAAGTCAAGAGCCCCCAGGTTCCCCTCCCCCTGACATCCCTCCCAAGCCCTGCCCAGGGATGGCTGACCCCTAGGGTTCATCCCACCAGGGAGGTGACCATACTCCTGCTCGGTCATGTTTCTTCCCCTGTGTAGGTCTTAGCTTTTCCACCTGGCGCCCACCAGGCAAGGCTCTCCACAAGACCACGCAGCGTGCCTGGGGCATCAAGGCGCATCATGCAGCAGCAAACAGCACCAAGGCCCCGGGCCGGCCCCGCAGGCCCCTCTAAGCTTCACCTTCTCTCCTCTATAAGATGGGGCCTACAAGGGGTAGGAGAGTTACAGATTAACCGCCAGCCCCCAGCGATGGGCGGCCAGACCCGGCGCCCGCGCCTGCTCAGGAGGGTTCCCGGCGCACTTGGCCGGCGCCCAGCGCCCAAGCGGCCGGGCTGTCCCTCCCGCACCGAGTTCCCGCGTTCGGCTCGCCCCGCCCCCGGCCCCCCAGGACGGGCTGTTCTCGGGGCCGCTGCCAGGCACGTCCTCCGCAGGTGCCGGCCTCCCTCCGCTGACGCGTCCACAAGCCGCTCGACGCGAATCCGAAGCTCCGATTACAGGGGCGGCCTTGTGCTGGGGGTCCGGGCCGGGGTCCTCACGCCCCCCTCCCCCGAATCTGCGGGAGGGACTGGGCAGCCCTGGGGGCGAGGGGGGGGGGGAGTGGCGGGAACAGGAGCAGCCCAGGGCCCCAGAGTGCCCCATCCCCAACTCCAAAGTAGCCCGGGGCGGCTCCCTGCGCTCTCCCCAGGGTCTCAAGCAGAGGGACCCCTTCGTCCCACATTGCCGAGGACTTTTCTGGCTTCAGTCCTGAACGGCCCTGGAGACCTTGGACCACTGGTCACC